GAGGCTGTATATTAAAATTTACATTTATGGTGTATGCTGTACTTAAACATCACTCTTATTGACTTGACTAGCTGTATGTAGTTTCTTTATATGAGACATTTACTCTAGGAAAGAGTGAGCATTGAGCTTTATTTAAGTATTTGTTTTATTTGATAACTGAAGCTTATTTGAAAACTCAGATAACTTGGACTGCTATATACATGTATGGATCACATGGATACATCTTAGACACTTACCCAGTGGTTATACGAGACATATAGACACTAGAAGGCAAGATGCTTGTTTCATATATGCATAGATATAATCATTAAATATCTGACATTGTAATTTGTATTTATTTTGTATATCAGTAATGAATTGACTGTTTCTTTCATCTTTTTCTTGAACCTTTTTGGTCACATTATCTCATGCTATTTGTACTTTTTTGATAAGTGAATTTATGCATATGTGTAACATGTGATTCTTCTAAGCTTTGATATGCTGTCTTCAGTTATATTAGAGGTTTGTCAGGGGGTAATGAATATTTACTTTCACTTGAATTTGAGGTGTATGTTTATTATATATATTTTATCTTTTTTGGTATATGCTTCTTATGAACTTAAATATGTACAAGAAATGTTTGACTTCTGCTCTTCCTCTCTTTTTTTTTCCATTTCTTTCTGTTTCTGTTGATTGGCTTTTTGAAAATGTACAACTGCCTTAATTTTAGTGTTTTAATGAAGCTCTATAAGAAAATAATTTTGCATTAAAGAAGATCAGTATACATCAGACAAACATATACATATGGATACATCAATATGATGTTATGTAATTCATCTGCAATTGTTAATTAATAAAAAGCAAAGTTCGTAATATAATTCATTGCTTTTGAGGAATATTTGTAGTAATATTTTTTGTAGACTAAGATTTTTGAATCCATGTGGCAGTGTACATTGCAATTAAAGTTTTTGTAAATAGAATTTTTTATGCATGAAAAAAGAACTAGTACTTACTGATACTGTACTAGGAATTTTTTTAAAAAAGATTATGATTATGTATATCAGTATGTTTATAAACCGCCCATGTTAAAGAATCATATTTTGTTGAATAATCTTTGCAATAACTATTGTTCTTGGTTTTGAGTTTTTGCAGATGATATTCAGTGCCTGACTTACATATTATCAAGCTTTCTTTCTTTCACTTCATTCTCCAGAGTTTATAGCATTCAGAATTGATGTTGAAGTCATTGTTAATAATTTTTGCAATATCTCTAGGCCTGTCACATTGCTGTTGGTGGGTTTAGACAATGCCGGCAAAACGACAGCAGCGAAGGGAATCGTTGGAGGTTAGTGTAACATAATGCAGCTTGTGTTATGAGGTTTGTAGAGGGTTTCTTTTATTGCTGGTTTATTGCAAAATAAAGAAGATATTTTGTGTTTGTTATATAAGAGTTTAATGCATTTTGAGTCTGTGAAAGTTACCAAAACTTGTTATATTAAGTAACTTTGATTTATATCATAATATGTTAATGGTAGTGAAGTTGGTGTAATAAGACATTTAAAAGACGTAGACTATGTGAAGCATTATCTTGTGGTATCAGTATTTTGATTATTAACCCCTTGGATCTGGTTGCATCCCAGCAAACGCATGGACCAAAATACAGGCTTTAGGATTACATAAGTGGCCATTCTCCTGAGTGTGCAGCGTACAGGCTGGGTGCACGTGAACACTCGTGCAGTGACAAGACACTGTGCCTCCCCTTTGCAATATTGTTTTCTATTATTATGCTTTAGCTGTTTCAGTTTTTTTGCCATTTACCAATGTCCATATTTGTCTTTTGATTTTCTTATCCAGATGGTAATAGACTGTTTTCCATGCACAGACTCCATATATCATATATCTCTTTACGTAGTAAATAACTCTTTACGTAGTAAATAATTTAATATTTTGTTATTTATCTCATTTTTAATATTTTTTTGTAATACTCATTTTTTAAAAATACAATTTGCACCAGCAGTTATGCTGGCCAGGAATAGGATGCTGAGCATGGAAATGGTGTCCTCCCTGGAGCCGGCACTCTTCCAATTATGGGACATTTCATTTCACTCATTTATTGATAGGATTAATGCAAAAGCCCCTTTCTAAATGCCAAATGAGTCTATTCACCCTCTAAGAGGTTTGTGCACTTGTGGCAAATCTTTTTCATCACCCTGGCTGTTGCTCATGAAGGCAAGTTTGCGTCACCCAGCCTGCAGCCATTTTTTTCATGACGGCATGTTCACATCACCTGCCCCTCAAGCCAAATTTTTTTATGATCTAATGGTCATGTCCTCCAGATCGAAGGGGTTAACTTGAAAAATACACTGGAAGTAGGCTTAAATTGTTTCTTATTTCCTTCAGCCCATTTTCATATCATCCAACAAGTACCAATAGATGTGTTTTTCTTATACTTGGATTATTTAGTGTTTAATAACAGCTTTGTATAGTATTCATGCAATAGCAAGTGCAAAGCATAGTAAGTTCATTTTGCTTTTGGTAAAACATTGTGGTAACATTAGCATATTGGAACAAATAGAGGGAAATAATGATTGAGGCATTATTAGAAGTAGAAAACATAGTGTCAGTGTTAACTATAGGATGTCTATCCTCTCCTTGGGTTAAAGCTGCTCTGCAGTATAGCAGAAGCTGCTACCATTTCTATTTTTAGGGAATCCTTTACAATGGAGTTCCAGCATTGTGTGTTAACAAGAAAGAATATACTATATCTGGAAGAAATTGGAATGCTTGCAGACTACATCTAATATTCTTCCTCATAGTATAGTTGTAGATTTTTGAACTTCTAAAAAAAAAAAAAATTATATATATATATATATGTATATATATGTATATATATATAATATATGTATACATATATATATATATATATATATATACATATATATATATATATATATATATGTACATATATATACATATATACATATATATATATATATACATATATATATACATATATATATATATATATATATATATATATATATATATATATATATATATATATATATATATATATATATATATATATATATATATATATATATATATACATATATATATATATATATATATATACATATATATATATATATATATATATATATATATATATATATATATATATATATATATATATATATATATATATATATATATATATATATATATATATATATATATATATATATATATATATATAATATATATATATATATATATATATATATATATATATATATATATATATATATATATATATATATATATATATATATATATATATACATTATATATATATATTATATATATATATATATATATATATAATATAATATATATATATATATATATATATATATATATATATATTATATATATATATATATATATATATATATATATATATATATCCCTGCAGTGTTTTGATACACTCAAGATTATGTCTGAAAGTAATTTGAATGTGTTGCTGTCAGAATTATCAATAGTGTAGATACCAATTCTTTTTATATTTGATAATTGTAATGTTTTAATAGACCGTTGTAGCACTCTAATAAACAAACAAATGGGAAGCTAAAGGGACTACTGTATCTGTATGTATTCAGTCACACAATCAGTAAAATATCTCTTTATTTTGTAGATCCTGTAGAAGATACGACACCAACAGTAGGCTTTGCCCCAGAATACCTAGAATATAGAGGCTGTGAAATTACTATATATGACTTAGGTGGTGGCAGTCGAATCAGGCCAGTGTGGTCTAAGTATTTTTCTGAGGTAAGGAGGGGCTATATTGTTTACACCCATATTGATTTATACTTGACTTTTTTAATCAGTCATTTTGTCAACATGTATTACTTTTTTTGTAAAGTTGAGATGGTTTTATTATTGCTCTAAATTTCCAGGTCCATGGTGTAATATTTGTTGTGGATTCAAGTGATCCTAATAGAATACAGGAATGTAGAGATGTTCTTTCAAATCTTCTGTCAGACAGAAAAGTTGCAGGGAAACCAGTTCTTATGTGAGTATCTAGTCATAACCTTGTTCACTTTTTTGTCCACTCTCCTGTTTTTTCACTTAGTGTACATATCATCGGAAAAGTTAATGATCATTCATATAATATGAGTTATTCATCTTTTTCAGACTCGCAAACAAACAAGATGTTGAAGGTGCCATGGATGAGATAGACCTTGTCGAATCACTTAAGATAGAACAAGTTGTCAATAAATACAAATGTCCAACGAGAGTGGAAACCTGCTCAGCCATCACAACGCGGAAAGAGAAGCCTGACAAACCCATTGCCGATGGATTCAGGTTTGATGCCTTGTCAGATAAGATTTGAAATGCTGAAATGGGAGATAAATTTTAGCTCTTAGATTATTTTATTATTTTATTTTTTATTCCAAAATGTATGTGATAAAAAACAGATTTGCTGAAATATGGTATTCATGGGATTATTAAGTAAATTTTTTTGTACCAATTGACCTTGTTTATTTCTACTATTTTGATGTTATGCTTATTTTACATTCTAAATTAGTATGGTTTACTTTCTTTTGATCATGCTTTTGATGATTACAAGATCCTAAAATGTGGACTCATACAAAGAAGCTTTGTACTGAAATTTCACTTAAGTAATTTATCTTCCATTTTCAGATGGTTGGTAGATACTATTGTTGTGCATTACAAAGAAATCAATAAACGAGTAGATGCTGATATGGAAACGGAACGAAAACAACTAGAGAAAGAAATGGAGGAGAGAAGAGAAAGGATACGAAAGCTAAGGGCAGAGAGAGAAAGACAAGAAGCCCTTAGGAATCAGGCCTTGGCTGCAAGAAATCAGGTACCGGGTGTCCCTGATAGTGACGACTCTGATGTTGTTGTTAGTGACATGACACAAGGCCCAGGAAGCAGTGGCATACCTAATGTGAGAGCTGGAGGGACTTCTGTATGTGCTTTGCATGCTGATA